GAAAGAGTCCAATCTTGGTGTACATAAGGTTTGGCTCAGAAATTGTGTAATTGACTTTTAGCTGTGTCTTGTCAATTTAGGTGAAAAAACAAGATCCCAAACCAACCCTTTCCCAACCCCCACCTTTAATTATCCGAGGCAGTTTCAAAATAATTCCTAGTCTATCATCCTATAAAACTTAAGTATAGCTCACTTTCCCAGTTACTCAGTTAAAGCCAGATAATTTAGTTTACTACTTTTGGGCCATTGTTAATATATAGGATCCCCTATCTAGTTTTCATCATGGTGTTAAAATGCTGTTGTTTGTCTTTTCCTATTTCCAGAATTTACTTCTCAGACTGAATCTTAGGGCATCTGAAAATGTAGGGTATACATTTTCAAAGCACAGCTTAGGGATTTAGCTGCATGCTATTCAAAAGGACTATACACCTAAACCTTGTACTAACTTTGAACACATACTTCTACCATTTTAGAGAGAGGTGCAAATAGACAGAAATCAAATCCAACTCTGTCCATTTTTTTATTCCTATGTTCCTTAATATGGCAAAAGAGACACTTCTTCAATTTCCTCTATTCATCGGACTTAGCAAACCTGTAAATCCTTAAAAACTGTGTGTCCTATGAGAGGTAACTTACATTTCCACCAATATATTTACAATGGGGGAAAATAAGGAGAGGCTATTTATGAAATACTGATAATTTTGTGTGCCCTATCACCCTTTCATTCAATTTACACTGGTCATAAACTTTTTATCCTATGGACAAAAGACACACTGTCTTCCTATTCAAGAAAGAATAAAACCCCACCAAAATACAAATATGTATTAAAAAAGAATAAGATTAAGCCGGGAAATTCACTCAAAACTGTGATGTAAAATTAATTATTCTTCCATAGCAAATGCTGGCCTTTCAGCAACTCTTCTAAACTTGTTTTAATTGAAGTTCCATGAAATTCTCAGGAGTTCAGCTTGAGTTCATCTTCTAAGCCCATCCTGATTTCATTAAAGAACTGATCTTTCTTTATTTGCCAATAAAAAATATTTATTATCAGTATCTGTTTTGTAACTGCATTTTTGATCGTATACCTCATTAAGGGTGAAATCTACTTCTTCCAAGTAAAGCCGGTGTCACTGGGCTCCATGTGGAACATGGTATGGGATGGCTTGCAAGCAGATACTGACCTCCCAGGTCTGGGAGGCTGAAGCACAGCCATCCGTACCCCTTCCGCTCACCTCATCTAAGGTAGAGAGACTTGTTGAATAACTTGGGGCCAATGGATCTGTATACACAAGGTTTTTCCCCCCACTTTACAACTATACAAGGCAACACAGAATAAATTGAGGACAGCTCACTTAATTCAATGTGGGTACAGTCATACACAGCTTGAGATCTGATAACCTTCTGCCATGTGTTGGTGGTGCGCAACAAACAGTTTTTATACTTTTACTCTACCGAAAATTACTACCCCCACCTCAGTGCCCTGGTATACAACTGGTATACCAAGTAACCTTATAACAGGTAACCTGAATCTACAGGCCTTTGCTCTGTATTTTCACACTTGTGATGATTACCTTTTTGGCGTTTCTTTTCCTACATGGAGGGCCTAGCAATTATACTAATTCCAGGCTTTAGGACCAGTCTCCAGTGTAGCATCACCAATGTAAACCCCGGCTGTACTGTTTGTATCAGTGCAGCTTATGTTTTCTATAAACCCCATATCATGACTCATAACAGTTATCCCTGTCTACCTTGGAAGCTACACCACAACAGCTATCTCAGAATAGACAATAATGGATGAAATAAAGCAAATCTTTATTTGCTTTACCTTTGCCTCTATGGAGTGGTTGAATTTGGAGATAGGTTTTTCTTTTTCTGCAGGAAAAAAAAATTCCATTACTTTCAAAGTAAATTAACCAGTAAAGTTAAATACTGAAGTTAATCATTTAGAGCTGAGGTAGGATTCTTGTGAATTCAGTGAAAGTTCAGTTCTTAGGCACAGGATGAAGAGAAGAGAACACCTTTTATTGCATGTGTAAGTGAGAATTAAGATTAGAATGGTTAGAGAAATGGTCTAAATTGACCAAAGTATATCTTAAAATTCTATTAGGTGAAGAAATTATGGACTCTAGTGCCATATCAATTCTATGTGGTGGAACTTAAGAAAAATTAATTTGATAATCTCTGCTTCTCTTTAATTATTAAATCATGTCAGTATTTTCTTCTTCATCTTACTCCATGATCAGTAATGAACAATGTGGTTTTTGCTTATGATTATCTGTTTATATAGCACATCTTGGAAATTAGACATATATCCATCTTCTGTTTAGCTGAATCAAATCACAATGTTTCTGTTCAAATTCCAGCTGGACCTACATACACATCTTTGTTTCATGTATTTAATATACTCAAAATTCACTAATGACAGTTTATAATATCATTATCAACAGTTAAATATATTATAACTTCAAGAAATGAAAAGAAAGTGCAGCCATATGTAGAAATGCTTTATTTTGTGCACTTTTAACCCTCTCAATAATTCAGCTGCAAAGATGAGGGCAGCAAGGAGGGGGGAAAAATTAAATGTCTGCAAAATCATTTTGCAGATTTCCCCCACTGTTGTCATGAAAGAGAAGGAGGTTATTTGAATGGTAAATAACAACCGAGAACTAATTTATTTTTCTTCATAAAATTATTATTTTGAACAGGATTCAAATATGTTCCTTATTACACGGTTTGATAATTCAGTGATGCTTTACCCCCCATAACATATGAGCTGATTTAAACCTTCTCTCCAAACAGCCTAGGGCTTATTAGGAACAGTGTGGACTGAGTATGGATTAGGTTTAAAAGTAATAAAAGAGTAGACCTGTTGGTTAGGTGAAAAATTCACTATCAGATTCCTGAGTGCAGCTTTCTTTTCATGTGCAAACTGCATTAAATGAGGCATTTAATTCAACAAATCCATAGTTCTGATCCACCAGAAATAGAGACTGGGTTAGTTCAATTTGTAACAAACGATCTCCATATGATCAAAGTCCTGAGAGCTGATTCCAACATACTGCTTAAATTAGTCTAACACCGAAGTGTTTGGCTCTGGGACAATATTTGGAATGTCTTACCAGAAGAAAAATTCCTCTGCACACATGGTTCTAATATCTGGGAATGCCAACCTTACTTTTTAATGGGCTGACAGGGAGCCTCGGCGCTAACTTTCTGACTCCAAAAAGTTCTTGTGCTGTCACCCGCAAACCAGCTTGGATAATTTTTCCTTGGCTTCCTTATTAAAGACTGAATGAAGGGATTGTGTGGCTTTCTTAATGTCACTTGGTCTGCTTGCCATAAATTCATGCACTCATGATGAAAGCTCCACTTATATTTCGCTGGGAAATGGAATCAAGGAGAATGCACCCTAGTTCACAATAAATAACTAAAGTTGAGTTATTAAGTGTATTTCATATACCAGGGCCTTATTACATCAGCAGTTTAGATAATGGCTTCTTAAAAATATTTCTGTACAGAAATATATGAAGAGAGGATTATATATAGGAGTTCCTATGCGTGAAAACCAAAACAGACAGCTCAAGCAATAATTTAAGGTTGTATTAACGAATAAAGAATATTTACATTTTTACGTGCTGCTGTCTGTTTTGATTAAACAACTGTGGAAATAACAGCAGTAAGCAGAAAGTACTGTATTTGCTTGAGCACTGCCAAAGAATTCTCAACTGGGATTGTTTGTTTGCTTTGCAGAATGAAGACTTGAGTTGTTTAGATTGTAGTTCCAGTTTTAGAGAGTGCTAATTACACTCTACTTCTGAACCCATATATTTCTCAGAATTGTATGAAAATACCTTACATCTGTATGGAAAGTAATCATGTCAATGGTCAGGCACGAGTGCTTGAGTGCTTTATACATGGTAAGATGGTGCTAATGGAAATTCATACTTTTAACTCCACTTACTTTATTTAAAGATAATGGCCAACATTTTCAAATACCTTATCTGAATTTCCTCCTGCAATTTTATAATTTTAATGGTAAGTACTTAATGTGAAACTGGGTGATAAAACTGAAACAGAGAGGTATGCATTATATATATTTTTATTTGTTATATTAACTATGGCTAGGGTGATGTTATAGATGTGATGGTCCAGGAATAATGTGAGGGGCAAGGATTTTTCAGGGTGGTATCTTTTATTGGAATAAAGTTAAACAAGCTTTCGTTATCAGGGGACCTTATAACAGGTAACCTGATGAAAAATGCATTGCGTTCAAAAGCTTGTCTTACTTTATTCCAACCATGCAGTTGGCCCAATAAAAGGTAAAAGGTAATACCCCACAAGAAATCCTTTTCTTTCTTAACTATATAATTCTTTAAATTATTTAATTATTAGAAATGCAGTTGGACATATTTAATTGACACAGACCCCAGGAAAAAAAGTGTACCAATTAATTATCCTTATTATCAGAATTGTGCCATGCTGGTACAATTTTTCAGTGACACCATGCTTTTTTGAAATATATATTGTGGAACAGGAGATTAAAAAAAAATCTATACTAGAAGTAGGTTGACTAAAACAGGAAACCAGAATAAATAGGTGGCACTCTGGAAAATTCATTCAAATCCACCATTTTCATGATAACTATTTTGAGTAAGTGGCTAAGTAAGCCAATTATATCTATTTTAAGAATACACTGCTATGTCTACACAT